CGTTTTCGAACATGTACCAAATATTGACACGTATGAAGCGAGCCTACTCATAAGTAGTAAAAATGCATATGCTGTTAAATAAACACACGAGATCCGTGGATCGAACGAATCTCACTGAAAAACATGCAGTTGATTTCAAAAACCCGCGCATTTTGAAGCTTGGGTTCAGAAGTCACAAGGAACGTTTCTTAGCCGAAGCGCTCCTGATCAACGTTAAACCTGGAGCAATCAATCGATCCGATGGGGCAGTTATCCCACAGTTATGGCAATAATTAACACTTGTGCATACAAAATATTCTCGTCCCCATCCCAAAGGCCAAGTGACTAATTTCACGTTTTAACCTAAAGGTCAAACCAATTTCACTCGCCCCAACCACCTGTTGAACGATCACCAACACACACACATACATGCACATACGTATATACACATGCTCGAATCACACCCGAGTTCTGCAGGATGTCATCATCCCATCGCTTTATAATTGATTGCAACGTGAGATTAACCGAATAAACGACTTCCAAACGTTGTCACCAACGCCTTAGTATTTTGGCTTTCATTCGTCGTGGCTAAGACAAGCTAATTTCCTCAATGATGTTAATTAGTTAACAGAAAATCTACGTTTTTATTTTCCACCGGTTTCTTGACTGTCATTATTATTATCGCATGTTGCAAGGTGTTGATTTTTTATATCCACAGAACAAATTGAAAGTTTTTATTCAAGGAAAAGTAATTCATTTTGTCAGCACATCTCGTAGAGTCATGACAAAAGTGACATGCATCCTAAAAAGGAAAAAAGTATAACACAGAACTGAATGCAGCAGACAGTTAAATGTGACCAGAGTTCAAAATCTAGGAGTTAGTTTAGTTCATTTCTTAAATTTAAATTTCCAGATGGATAACTTCTGGAAGATAACCGTCTTTGAAATTTTTCCATCTTTCACTCAACCGCTGCCACCCACATTTATTGTATTCTGTATTTTTCAAGCACGTTTGAGCACAGACTGTGCCGTGCAAATCACGGCACAATAAGAAGTTTAATGATTTGCCATCAAACTTGGATACCTAAAAATCCATACTTTATTGGTTACTGCAGAAACCAGTTATTTGGATCACTTTGGTGACTAGCTAGTTTGTTATTTCTTAGTGCCATGGATGTTATGCCATGTGAGTTGTTGGAGTTAATTTCTGCTACGATGGTGGTTTAAAATGATCAAGAAACTGACGATTTGCGAAATGCTAGCAGAATCGAAATTGACACAACACTATGTGGGGAAGCTCTTTGGCTTACTAAGGTGTACGCGGCAAGTTAGTATACCCTAAATGTAGTCATGGAAACAGTATGCCAAAGCTGCTTCAATAACAAAATAATGTCCTCGCAAAACTAAGCAAAAATACGATACCGTGAATTACGTCGTTGATCAGTGATAATTGGAGTTTTCAATAAATGATAAATAATGTCTAAGATCACCAGTGAGGTTTTACTTGATGTGTAGTGCATCCCTGGCTTCATTATAAGCGTTTCTTGTCTATCCAAACTAGATCGAAGTCGAAAGAAAATGTTTCGCATTACTCTGCAATTTATCAGGATCGCCACGTACCGGTGAAGAGTAATCACCCTTTGTGATCATCAATACATTGTTCAAGCAAAAAGATCCACTATTAAATGTAAAAATGATTGAAAATGCAAATTAGCAGCGTAGGAAAAGCGTCACATTCATAGGATTCAGTTCAAACGAAAGCTAACTGGTATTACGCAGAGCGGTAGTAGGGCTTCAGAACCTCGATATCCGTTTTATTTCGAGAGCTGATTTCACTGACTTCCCTTATCTGATTATTAGATTCTCGTTGCTGGGGAACTCAACAGCTTAGGATATTCATCATAACATGGGGATTGATAAAAGTCTGCGATAAACACCATGCAACGGACAATTTAGTTTACTTCCCTCATGGAAACAGAAAAATTATTTATTTATTTAAGGGAGGATAAAAGTTTAGTTGGATAATTATCTTGTATTTTTCATGCGAACTCATTGATACCAGGATCTGTGAATTGTGTTTTGGGGGTGTTTTACTCGAAATTGCTTACCGATTAGTCACAAGGTGCGTTAGATTTTAAACTGGATCAAATTTACTGATCACCAAGATAACTGTTCCAGATCTAACCAATAGGCGCGACCCAAAATTATACCAGGTACCAATTGTAACCCCTACTGTTCGTCCGTTTTTTTATCCCCGAAATTCACTTTTGTTTGCATAGAATGTTGATTTTGTGGCCATCTCAGACAATTATTGGTTGGGTCAAAATACACCTTGCTTGACCTATGGTCTGCGTGGTGTGATCTATTTCTACGTCACTGTCGAAGGTCCGGATCGGGTTTTGCATTCCGGCTGTCATGGTGGGGCGATTGTGGAGCCACTAGCCGATCTGATCAATTTGTTAGCCGCACTGAATGACAATCAGGGACGACCGTTGGTCCCAGGCATCTATGAGGACATGGAAGAGATTGATCCGGAAGAGATGGCGTGAGTTTATCCATTGACCGATTTTTTGGTTTTGGTACAATGTCATCGTGAATGGGGTTTCCTCAATCTGTTTGTCACGCGTGCATACTAAGTACCATCATCCTTCAAATGAAAAATCAGGTAACAAGTAATGATTCACACCGGGAAATTAGTTGCAACTGAGGCTCTCAAGCACCTACTGACGTGGCTTGTTGATTACTTCACAAGCAGAACTCAGCATCCTCGGCTGGGTACGAAAACATCGAAACCACTGGTGAACAGGAGAGGGAGTACCCCAGAGAGCAGTACTACCTCCGTTCTTATTTTCCACCTACACCAGTGATCTGTTAGCGAGTTCTCCAACCCAATTATTCGAATACGCTGACAACGTAGCTGGTTGCCAAGCCATTTCTGTGCCTGAGGATATTCTGAATTTCTCCAGCAACCCATCGCATATCCATGAATTTCCGTTCTTTCTGGACGATCTCTTAATTTATAGAAGTGCTTCGAATGCACCTTCACTCTCTCTCGATCTATCTTTCACATTGACCTCTCGGTCATCAATAGGTTAAATTCAGTGAAGTATTTGGGAGTTACAATTGACACAAACTTAAATTGGACATCCCATATTTACAACTCTGAACAGAAACTTTGTGGATTATCTCTTTATTTTCGAAGACTTGGGCAGTTCAGTATCAAAAAAATCATTTCGATTGTTGTTTATCAATGTGCTTTTGCTGTTTTTCTTTGTTGTTCTCCGGTAGTTTTTGCCGAGCTATTTGAGTAAGGCTTCAAATTTCTCCGTCGAGATTTGTCAATCCTCAGTCGTCTTTTATATCCATTGATGATCTATGTAAAAAACTGTGTGAACTTCACTTGTCCGCATGGGAAACATTTGCACAGAAAATCCTTTCTGACCCCACTCATCCTTTAAATGGGATCTCTCCAACTGTTGTTCTCATTCATCTACGCGTTCTGCACATCGTTTATTACTTTCTCAAACGAACCTCTACAAAACTTCTACAGTTCC